AAAAAAAAACAAGACAATCCCCCAGGGCCAACTAGCAAGGCCTCCCCCCCCTTCCCCCCAAATCTGGGAAGGAGAAGGGGGAAGCAGGAGGCTCCAGAAGAAGCAGTAGTTGCCCTGGGAATGCTGCCCTCCCCCCACCTGCAATCTTCTCTCCTCACATTCACCTTACACCCAGGCAACCACAAAAGAATCCTGGCAGGCTTCCTACCTGGGAATCCCCAGAGGGCAGGCCAAGGGTCCACCTTCTCCCCTGTACTCCCCTGAAGGCTGGGAGATTATCAGCACTGGAGTCAAAAGTGGCTCTCATTGTGCAGGATGCTACAGCCTCCTGGGCTGTATTACCTCTTTGTTTGCCAATTCACCAATTTGCAAAATACCATAATTGACACTCATTAGTTTAAATAAGCAAAGGGCTCTGGCAGAACCCACCACTCACCCTTTAAGTCTAGAATTGCAAGCCCTGGGGGGCTGCGATCTTTGTGGGTTATTTTTTTTTCTTTTCTGCAGATTTTATCCAAGCCCCACTTAATACCCCAAATTATTTGAATTTGTGGATCCTTTCATCAGGGCTTAAATGTATGTCTAAGAATATTTAGTCCAGAGATTAAAAAAAAAAAAGTTTGCCTGTTTACAGAGCTCTTAGAGGCCTCCCGGTGGTTCTGAAGTTCTGCGTTTTGGGGCAAGAGACCTAAGGACGCTGCAGGAACCTTGTAAGGGACTTAATTTTTCTAAAGGCTGTGTTTAGTTCAGAGAGGGCATGGCTTGCAAACAGCAGCCTATTATAGTCATCAAGTCAGGGGAAAAGGATCAAATTTGAATACCTAAAAACCAGCAAGGAGAAAGCCTAACTTCAGGGTGCTCAGTGATTCAGGGCCCCAGAGCGCCCCCGGAGCAGCCCTCACATGTATACCCGAACTGACTCCAGAAAGTCATTGCTGGGGCCCAGCTTTCGGCAATTGCACCCAATCCCTGCAGTAGATGCTTTTACTGTACTGCCCAGGCTGCCCTGTGACCAGATCACCTGGGAAAGCCACCCGGGGGCTGGAGGCTGGGTGGTCTGGGTAAAGGGGTGCCGGGGACTAGGGGGTCTGGGTACAGAAGCCAAAGTCTCCCCTCTGAGTGTCCTGCCTCCAGTCTCCCTGGAATTCTCCTGTGTCCTCCTGAGCTGACTAGGGACTGGGGAACCAGGGCTGAGTGGTGACACAGGAAGGGTCCCAACCCTAGGGCAGCAGCAAGCTGAAAGGGACCCAGTGTGAGTGCTGCAGCCGGTGGCGCTGCCTGCAGGTGGGGGTGGGGGGCTGCTGCTCTCCTTGTGTCTGGGAAGCTGTTCTGGCTCCACTAACCAAATAGTGGAGATCAGGCCAGAAATCAGAGCTGATTCTGAGCTCAAAACACAGGCTTTCTCTTCTCTCTTTCCCCTCCTTCTACCCCCTGGGATTATCCATTTCCTTCAAAGGTAATTCTTATTCCTGCTCCCAGGACCCAGTTGCCTGCCTATCAAGTGGGGCATTTCAATAGGTTTTTTTTAAAGGGACAGAGCAGCTCAGGGCTCTTACCTAGAGAACTCACCTGCTGTCTTCTCCTCCAGCTTTTTGTCAATATTACTAAATTTTCCCACTGGCTTGGATGTGACTCTGTGTACAGGTGAGACACCTGACTGGCCTAGATGTTACCAGGGTTGGGACCTGGTGCACTTGGCTCTGTTCAAGAGCAGTTCCAAGAGAAGTTTCCACTCCAACGCAGCAACAGGAGCCCTGGCCAGCCTCTCCAGCTGGGCCTCAGAATGGGGCCCTGCCTAGATGGATATAACCCCTGAAAGTCCAGGGCATCTAGGGGCCCAGCTGCTTGGCTGAGGTCAGGTGGAGGGAGGGCGGGAGCCAGAGCCTGACCTTGAACAAGGGTATCTTCAAGTGCAGCTCTGGGAGTCAGTATAGGGATACAGGCTCCAGGAGGTCAAGAAGTACATTCGAGCCCTGTACACACAAGGAGAGCCAGACAGACCTACAGACCTAGAGCCCAAGATCCTACCCTGATCTGGCCCCTTGGCCATCAAGAGGGCAACTCAGAGGGAGAAACAACCAACCCTTCCCTGGGTCAGGATGAGTCTGTTAGTGAGCCCTCCTGCTTCTTCCGTGCTCCTTCCCGGCAGGCTACACCTGGGTCCCTGCATTCCTGTCTTGTCTGCAGCTTCCCAGGGGAGGGGGACAGCTAGAGGAAGCACCATTTCCCTGGAGAGGTGCACGATGACACCTCCACTCTCACCACTCAATTGTTAATGCTCAAACCACAGTGTCCCCTGTGACCCAGGGCTTCCGCACAGAGACTCAGCCTCGCATACTTTTTCTTGTGGCTAGAAGGCCCCTCTGCAGCTCTGACCATCAACTTGGTGCACGTTTAAAGAACACTTCCCAGGCAGTCAGCTGTGAACCCCTGCTAGCCCTGGCCCTCATGCTTGCCCCAGACACATGCGTGCTCACCGTACCCACGCTGGATTCCAGGCCACTGCCTGTGAGGATGCAGAGGGTCAGCGGCGGAACCCAGCCTGGGGCTGCTGGCCCTCAGGGCCCCTGGCCTGCGGCTGCCCCGCGGAACACCCCAAGTGTCCTTCAACCCCACGCAGGCTTTGTTGGCAACTTTGCAGCCAAGGAAGGAGAGCGTGGTCTAACTAACACGGCTTGTTTTGTGTTTAAAGCCAAGAGTTTATTTTTGTTTTGCAGCAGTGGTGTCCTGTGACAGGACAGCGAGGTTTCTCTTAAGCTTCGGAAGAAAATAAAGCTCTCTCCCTCTCCCAGTGAAACAGGACACCACCTTCCCCAGTGGCCTAAGGCCCTGGCGATTGAACTTTGCTGCAGCGCTCATTCTGAGGGAAGAGTGATGGCCTGGCCGGTGACAAAGGCGCCTGTCTGCAGGTGTGTTTGGGGGACAGGGAGGGGCACGAGAGACCCCGGCGGCCCCTGGGCCTCTCTTCAGTGAGCCCGGGAAGAGGCAAGGAAGCAGTGGCTGGACGCGCGCCCAGGTTAGCCGCGTCGTTGCGGACCGCGGAGCTGTGCAGAAGCGCGACCGCGCTGGTGGCGCAAACCCGACAGCTGCTCTGTTTGGCTCGCCCGAGAAGCCTTGCCAGGGTGGGTGCAGAGAGAGGGCCGGCCTCGGCTAGAGGGGACGCCGCGCAGCAGCATCGGCCGCACCGCCACCAGGAGCGCGTCGCGCTGCGGGACCCGCTTCGCGAAGCGCTCTCCCGCACACGCCTCTCCAGCACCCAGCGCAGCGGGGCCTCGGAGTCCCTCGGCTTGCAGGCACCGAGCCGCGCGCTGGAGGGCACTGGCTGGGGGTGGGATGAGGGGGGACAAGAGCCCGGCGCCGCAGGCTCCCGACTCTGCTCTACTCCCCGGCGCCCCCGGCGCGCTCCCAGTCAGTTATCCAGTCCGACCCGGTGCGGCCGCTCGAGTCCGGCGGCCGCCACCGTCCCAGACCCCGAGCCCTGCAGCGGAGTGCGAAGCTTCAGGGCGGGTGGTGGGTGCTACGACTGGGCTTCGATCGGCGCGGCCGGCGAAGGGGTCTGCCTCGACCTCCCCTGTGCACGGCGGCGCGAGCCAGGTTAGCACGGGACGGCGCGGGCGTGGGCGGAGGAGCCGAGAGCCCACGCCTCCGCAGCCCAGCGCACTCACCGTCGCTGAGGCAGAGCGCAGCCAGCACGAGGGCCAGCACGGCGACGACCTTGGCATCCATGGCACCGGCGGACAGCGCGCGGACGCGGGCGGGACGCTGAGCGAACGCGGCGACGGAGAGTGAAAGTGCGGCGGCGGGAGGCGCGCGCCGGGCACTTTAGAGGCGCGAGCGCGGCGGGGCGGGGCGGGGCGGGGCGCGTGGCGAGGGGCGGGCCTGGGGCTGCCGCCAGAGGCCGCGGGGGGCTCTGGCGCGCTCCCCCTCCCAAACGGCCGCCAGTCGCGTCCCCTCCTCACCCCTCCGCGCCCGGGGTGCTCCAGGGGCTGCGACGAGCTTCGGCCTCTGACCTCCGCTCCGCTGGGCCCTGCTCCGTAAGGCTCGACCTGCAACGAGGAACGCAGCGGGGCTCGGCTGAACGCTGGTTGTTGTGCCCACTGAACAGGTGGAAAGATGGAGTCCCAGGGGAACTGAAGGAGGACCAAAGAGAACCAAACAAATCGATGCGTGCCGAGGCCCAAGATGGCTAAGAGCCGTCCCGTTTTTGGAGTCTGGAAGCACGCGGTGACCACCGGCCCAGGATCGCGCAGCACTGTGGCCCCGCAAACTAGGCCTATGGGGGGGAGACCAGTCTTCGCAGTCCGGGGGCGGGGGGGAGACCAGTCTTCGCAGTCCGATCAACTCTCATTCCAAGCCAACGCCGTCATTGGTAACCAAGCCTCAGTTTCCTGACCTGTAAACTTGCGACTCTAGAATATTGTGCGGCGGAAAGGAAACCGTCTCCTCTGCCGGCTCCGTGAATTTAACGTGAATTCTAAGTAAACGTGAATTTACTTAGTTCTCTGTACCTCTGTTTTCTCAACTGTGAAATGGACTGTTCACAGTGCAACTGGGGGAGGGGAGGGGATGATGGACACTCCTGTCTCAGGCGTGAAGTACTCACCCCTGAGTCTGGCACATAGCACTCGGTAAATGGAAGCTAGAATAATTGTTTAAGCTTCAGCAGTTTCTCCGTCTCCCAGTGAACACCCTGCGCGAACCAGAGTTTTGGGAGAACTCCCCTCTTCCTCTCTCCCTTATACCCCAGGGCAGTCCTCCTTGCGTGGGCCTTTCTGGTCCAGAAAACCGCACCCACAGAGTCGTCCCTGGGCGGTGTGGGAACTCCTGGCTGGCCGCGCCCCAACCTGGACACGTTGAGACCGCCCTAGCCCAGCAGTGAGGGGTGCAGGCCGGCGGCCCAGGGGGCGCAGGGGAGAGAGGAGCACGCTTTGTGACCTCATTAGTGACGATAGGACGCTCCAGCCACCTCCTGCTTACTGGCAGAGCTAGACCTTGGAGTGGACTCCATCCCCGCCCCCATTCAAGGGGCGCGGTGGGGTGGGGACAGGTCTCTCTACCTGGGCAGTCCGGTAGTCGGCGCCACAGGGGAATGGGCAGGGGCGGCGGGGCCTGGGCTCAGCAGCTCCAGCCAAGGGCCACATCCAGCAGGAAGCTGCAAGAACTCCGAGGACTCAGGTGGTGAGGATGGGTGTCTTTTCTATCTCTTTTTCTGAAACGACTTTCACGCCCGATTAGATGCACCGTGAACTTCCATTCATTCATTCACTCCAAGCCGAGCTTATTTCTGGGCACTGGGCGTAGAGCCGGGAAACGCATTGGGTTGGTCTTGCCCTTAAAAACTAACATTCCAGTGGACAAGTCAATCCTCAGGCATTTCTGGGACTCCACTTTTTTTTTTTTCAGGACAGCAGGGCGGGTAATCGCGGAACTTGTGCGGCTTGGCCGGCTGCGGACGAGAAAGAGCGCGCCGGCTGAGCTCGGGCGCCCTCTGGTGGCAAAGTCTCCCACACTCTCTGCTTCCCACCCCTGCTTCACCCTGGCACCTCCCACGCCCCCATTCCTCCCTCCCCCCTCCCGTCCCCGAGGTCCCGGTGGACCAAGGCTCAGGCTCTTCCCTGATCCCTGCGCAGCGAGGTGAAACTAAAGTGTTCTGTGGAAAATCGAGAAGGCTGGAGTTGGCACGTCTTGGAGCCTGGAACTCAGAGCCTGCGGGGAGCTGCGGGGAGCCTTCCTGCTAAAGGGAATTACAGTTTCTCGCTTGCTGCTTTTTTGCCTCAAATATGGTTTTGTCCCTGCAGCCTAGGGAGTCACTGGAGGGGCCCGCGTGGGCTGGGACAAAGGAGAACGGAGACCTCCTCCCTGGCAGTGCCCCCCACCCCCACCCCAGGATAGGCATTAGCATGGGACACATCAGAGCCGGCCACTTCCTTTATCAATTTATTAAAATACTTATTGAGCACGTACTATGTGCCAGACACTGGCTAAGTGTTTGAAGTACTTTACTAAAGGAAGAGAAAGAAAGAAAAGAAAGAAAAGAAAGAAAAGAAAGAAAAGAAAGAAAGAAAGAAAGAAAGAAAGAAAGAAAGAAAGAAAGAAAGAAAGAAAAAGAAACCCTCCAAACCTAGTCTGGGAGTTTATATCCCCAAGGGAGGGGAGGAAGCAGGGAAGAGAAAAGCTACACAAAACATAAGTAAGTAAACACATAATCTACAGAAGGTTCTTAGATTCTATGGGAAAATGGAGCCGAGGGAAGGGGAGCGAGTTAGGATTTTAAATAAGGACACCAAGAATCGCATTTTAGGTAAAAATCTCCAGTTTTTCAGCTGGCAAGCTATCTGAATTTAACAATTACATGCCAATGCTCTTGGAGGCCAGGGGCTACTAGACTGTGACTTTTCTCCTGAGCTCTGTGTCCAGCCCTAGCGGTGCCTCCCAAATTCAGGACAGTGGCGCCCATCACTCTTTCTCTTGTGTCCTTTGCTTATGTCACTATCTCCAGTTACAAGGCTTCACCTTTCTTCCTCTGCTAGGGAACTCCATTTTCCAGCAGAGCCCAAAGCAATCCCCCCTCCCTGTGAGGTCTTCCAGATCTCTCTCTACTCAGCACCCAGAGTCACTGCTCTTCAGAAACACCTCAGTCATGTGGAGTTCAAGGTGGGAGGCAGGCAGAGGTCTGGCAGTTGAGGTGCATCTCCACGGCTTAATTGCGCGTGATGATCCTTACACCCCCGGTGCCCAGTCCAAGGGCCTGCCCATGGCCCTCTGCCCTTTGGCCTGGGTTGTTCATTCCTTTAGAGTTGAATGGTTGGCCTTTCAGGGACGTTAGTACAAGGTGAAATGTTTGCACCAAATCATTAGTAACCGACAAGATAACCGACAAGATAATCTGAAAACATTATTTGTAAAAAAAAAAAAAAAAAAAAAAGATATGGATTTATATTTTATTTTTAAAAGTAAGAAGAAAAAATTATAACTAGCACATTAAAGCAGACATTTCAGATATTGTTCAGGGTGGATCTCATTTTTTTAAAAATACATGATTTAAGAAGCAAGGAAATTTAAATTAACATAGTATGCACTAGTATAGGTGGTTGGAGACACAACAAAACTCCAGACAGTGATACAAAAAGATCTGAAGTTTGAAAACGCTGCCTAACGACAGAGCCTTTTTTTTTTTTTTTTTTGGTATTATTTGATACTACCTCTCCCCTCCCCCCCAAAACAAACCACGTGGACCCAAAGAGGTAAAACAAAGTCACACAAGGGAGTCTCTTTCATGGCAGATATCTGGGGATCCTTTTAGAGTCCAGTACGCAGGGCCAGCGCTGAGTATCCGTCAGGCTGGCCATGCTTTCCTCAGCTGGATCCCAGCTTGGCCTCGGAGTCAGTTCCAAGAGCCTAGTTTCCTCCTACAGGGAAGGACCCCAGGGAGGCTGAGTCAGGGCTTGTGGACGAAGGGCCTCGAAGCAGGGTCCTGGCCAGTTTGGGGGCACATACACAGGCAGGGCTTACCGTAAGTGGATGTGCACATCCAGCAAGCCAGATCTTCTGTCCAAAGACTGCCTCAAGGACACCCCTAAGACAGGGGTAGTAGTTTCCAGGACATCCTCAGGAGCACTGGACGAGCAGAGCTAGTGTTCTAGGCAAAGCGAGACCCAGGGGCTCCAAGGGTTCAGGTCTATGCTCTCAGCAACCACACTAGCTCTCACATACCCACTCAATTCTCCCTGTGCCCATCACCAAAATCATTGGAGTCACGTCTAGATGAATTCTGCTGTTCCCAGCCTTACCCCCCTCTCTCTCCCGTTACCCTTGCCTCTGGGTAGACTGGTTTCAGCATCTGGAGCTCCATCAGCATCGAGCATAGGGAATGCACACCAGCTTCTACACAAACCCCTGGGTGATGGGAGGTGTGAGCCCTTTAGGATAAATAACATTTACATATGAGTTAATGTTGTATGCCTTTCTCTTCCTTCATGCTCACGCCTGCCTTTGAGGTGGGTTCAGTATTAACCCCACTCCCCAGATTTGGGAGCTACGATCACAGCCACTCTTTGCAGAGCTGGGAATAAAATCAACTTAGCCTGGCTCTGGAGTAGGACTGTTCTTGGTGAAGGATGGAAGAGTGTCCTACAAAGCCCGGTTAAATTTAAATTTCAACTAAGCAATGAATGTTTTCTTTCTTTTTTTTAATATATGTTCCAAATATTGCATAGGACATACTTATACCAGAAAGAATCACTCATGTTCATCTGAAGTTCAAGTTTAACTAGGTGTCCAGGATTTTTATTTGCTGAGCCTGGTAACCCTACTCCAGAGTCTACACTCTTCAGGACATAATGGAGTCCCTCTTTGTGAGCTTTCTCCCTGGGCCTTCAGGACATGTGGGAAGAGGGTGGGGAGGGTACTGGGAAGACAAGTTCTGGAATCATCCACTTTCTCAGTGAGGGGATTTCTGGAGTTTTATTACTATGGAATCTGTTTATGGTGTGAAATGGTACATTAAAGCAGTACGGGAATGATCCTTTTTTCCATCTCTCTTTTCTGCCGTGAAAATTTTATTTTATTTTATTTTTTTAGAGTTTATTTTTATTTATTTTGAGAGAGAGTGCAAGCGTGCTGTGTGTGCACAATGGCGGGGTGGAGACAGAGACAGAGGGAGAGAGAGAATCCCAAGCAGGGGCTGGATCTCACAACCATGAGATCATGACCTGAGCTGAAATCAAGAGTCAGACGCTTTAACTGACTAGGCCACCCAGGCACTCCTGCCATGAGCATTTTAGTTCTATATTAGCCCCAACCCTGATTTTCCAGAAACAGTCTGGTCATGACCGAGTCGGAAAGAGACAAGCTTTCTCCCCAGCATCACCAGCCTTCCTTGTCCTCTGGCCCAGGCTCAGGTACACGAAGCCCAGCTCCTTCTGTTTTAGGTGGCATGGGCAGAGGCAGGGCGAAGACAAGGAGCCATCATCCCAGGGGTGAGCATCGCATGAGGAGTATCCTGCTCTGGTGGGATGCGCAGATGAGGGAAGAGGTCAAGCCCCGCTGTGGGTCATGGAGGAGGCTTTAGGCCTGCTGCCTGCACAGCTGGTCCCCTGGTCAGAGAAGCCAGGATTCCAGCCTCGCTGGCCCTCCTTGTCCAGAGGAGGGACTTGTACTTTTTTCTTCACCTTACCTCCCTGTGGCTGGGAGTTTGTGGTCTTGCAGCTCAGATGCACTGGATAAGACCTCACACGGAGGCTGCTCCGAGTGGCTTTCAAGGCCAAGTGCAAAGGCAGGCCCCACCCACCTGTAGCCTGGCCCACCGTTGCAAGTGGGAGATGGACTCAGCTGGGGAGAACAGCCCAGCACCTCTAAGGTACCTATCCTACCAACCCACTGCTCAGAAACCCACTGGGGAGGTGGAATGGTAGTTTTGCTTAGGGATAATTTATCAAACAAAGAATCTGTCAATTTGTTTCTTTTTTTTCTTAGGCAATGCAAATCCAGGATGTCTACTGGGAGTTCTGGCTTCATCCATGAAGTCTCATTGGCTTCCAGCTTGTAGCAATCTTTTTCTTCTTAGGTTCCCAGACTAAAGTTTCTATGTTTGCAGCCAGGTTGACTGATCGTTTATACTCCCATTTCCTCTGTAGAGTACCCAAGTTTTGCCTTAGAGCCCTAGGCTGTGCCACCAAGGGTGCTATACTTCCTTCATAAATCTATAATCCAACCTTCCATCCATCCATCTACCCTTTTACCATCTACCCATCTATTCCTTCCTCTATCCAACATCTACCCACCCATCTATTCACCCATCCACTCACCAATCCATCCATCTATCCATCCATCCAGCCAACCATCCAGCCAGTCAGCCAGCCAGCCAAATGTCCACCCCCCACCCCCCATCCACCTGGCTCTCCTCTTTAACCACTCCCCACCGATCCTTTCCAGGTGCTCTAGCCCCAAGATGCCTTTCCTGCCAGAAGCAGATGTGCCTCCTGCTTCCTGGGCCACAGGGGAAGAATAATCAAGCATCAAGGGCCCCAAATCCAGAGATCACATAGCAAGCCCTCACCTTGAAACAGATTGAAGTCTTTGCTTTCCCCTCACTGAAGGAATGACCTCTTGGAAAGGCAGGGCGGGCTTCCTGGGGAATGCCCACCCAGGAAGGAGCTGAGAGCAACATGTGAACACTCTTTATCCCCTATCGTTCATTTCATAATTTTCTTCCAGAAGGTTACCAAAAAACAAAGAACCGAAAAGAAAAGAAAAGAAAAGAAAAGAAAAGAAAAGAAAAAAGAAAAGAAAAGAAAAGAAAAGAAAAGAAAAGAAAAGAAAAGAAAAGAAAGAGAAAGACAAAGTAGCAAAGAAACGAAACTTTCTCTGTTTACTCCTCTGTATTTAATGAGGGGTTGTTAACATGACTAAAACCATCTGAAGAGTTTTGCCAAATGGAAAAATCTCCCTACAGGGGCAATAAAACAAATATTCAGGCTAGAGAGAGGCAGTCATAAAAGGCATTACCCAGTTGTAAACAGAGGCGGGCGGTGGTGATGTATTACCCCTGCCCCCGCAGCTTTCACCAAACTTCTGAGATTCCAGGAGCGGCTCTGACCCGAGGCAATATTTACTTCTGCGGCTTCTTCAGCAGGTCAGTGTGGGTATAATTCTGTCTACCAGTTGACTGGAGTTGAGCTTATGAGCAGGAAGTCCAAACCCTGAGCGCTCATAACTCAGGAGGAGTCAGGCACCCCTGCCCGGTGCGCGCCAAGAAAAGCACATTGT